CAGATACATGTGATATGATTATTTATATATAACAGATTAGAAATTGTTTACAGCTCTATCTTCATTCACACATCTAATCTACAAGATAATGTATTAGTAAAAAAATCCTGGCCCTTAAAATATTGATGATAATGCTTTGACGTTCATATCCATGACAATGATTTAGGAATGAAACAAAAAGGTTTGGTTTGAGTGTTTAAAAAGAAATTTTATCAGTCGGCAAGAAATAATGAGAACCAAATTTTATGGGATGCTGTTTTAATACTCCTAAGTTTTGCTAGAATCTTGGTTAACCCCTTGGATCAGGGTGACTCGACCATCACTTCATAAATAAATCTGGCAGAGGGCTGGATGTTGGGAATATTTCATTGTAGAAAAATCTGATTGCTAGCCGTGGTAATGGGATTATGCCATCATGATAAACTGGTAAACAAATGTGGAATGTATCATAGGTAGGCCATGACTGCAAGAGATCCAGCTCTAGGGATGAGCACTAGCTCTAATTGTTACTGACAACTAAAGATATGATATGGAAGAAAATGGTCTACTTTCATCTTGATACAGTATGTCAAATGACAAATACAGTCTTTGGAAAATGGCAAAAAAAGCAAAAAATGGTTAGATGACATTATAAAGGGGAGGCAAGGAGTGTTCCTGTGAGCTGGGCCTACAAACTACACAACAATGATAGTCGGGCCATGTGCAAGCGAGGCACCCAGATTTAACAGGTTAATAGATTTACTGTAGCTAAATAGAAGTTTATTTCAGTGTTTGAGTATTACACAAACTACATAAACTGATAATGCACTTGAAGTTTCTTCAAGTATCTTGACCTCAACCATATTTACTTCAGTCCAAAGACCTTTCATGACAGATTATCTTCCAAAGAAGTAGAAAAAATAATAATCTCATCTTACAATAATCATAATTCAAACAAAACTATTCAAATTCTTTATATGAACAAGATACAGTAAGTTAGTGTTTGCACTTACAAATTCAGTGTTGCTTTCTAAGCAAGTTGGTATGAAACTAAACTGATATAGGCAATGACTTGACAAAATAACAGTGACGTCTTAGATGACACAACATATATTAGCAAAATAACAGCAGTGTCTTGCATGACTTTACATATCTAATTTTCTTTTGATAAGGTATAACATTTAACTAAATATAGTAAACCAACTAGAGTAAGATTTTTATCTTCTTCTTCTTAAAGAGAGAATACAAGAGCCCATTGTATGCTTCATTGTAAAATTGAACAAAGAACTTACACACTCACAAAGAATTTCTGACTTGGTTGTACACTCTTTGTCTACAAACATATGGGACTGGCAGGATGAGGTTAGAGTTGATTTATCTATGAATAAACTTCTTTGAGTAAAATGAGAAAGCTATTCCTTTATAAATCTTTTATGTACTGTTACTACTTGACCTGTGAACTTGAAATGAGAAAACAAACTTGTCATTGTCCACAACAGCTTGCTGCCAGTTAGGTTGTAGCCTTAGACACCGTCTTTCCAAAACGACACTAGAGTGCCTTCAGCTAGAGTGGTAGGGCCTGTACCCCTGACCTTCAACATTCCTGGTCAAGGCTCTCTTCTCTAGTTAGCCTACAGGGTTTCCTTTTCCTAATTGCAGAAATTGCAAAAAAATAGGCTGAGGATTTACCATCCTAATGAGTGTGTAATTTTGTGACAAAACAATGAAACATTCAGATGACACCCAAATATTCCCATTTTCCTTGGTGTGATCCGTGGACCCCTACAGCTTTAAGAACACTGGTAAAGGCCAACCATTCTCTATACTGTATCATCTGGCAAGATAGTTTGCAGACTCCTCTAATGATTTATTGTCAGGCAAGGAGCCAGTTCAAGCTCCATCTTGCAAGAATATATCAAATGTGAAGGACAATTGACATGAATGCAGACTATATTACTACAAGAAAAAAGTCTCATCTGCAGATCTATCATAAATGCCTGGTCAAGTTACAGAGTATAGAAATAGTGACTTGTGAAATCAGGTAACTGGTACCTGAAGCTTTGTGCCAAACTACCATTATGCTCAAAATTTACCAGTCAACTTCAGCCAACTCTTCACAGCTTTCTTTTCACAGTAAATAATAAATGACTCTAAATGAGCAGTTGCTGATAAAGGACACCTCAATTACCTATGCCTACCTTACATATAGAATATGAAGGAATGGAGGACTAAGGATGGCAATTCCCGTATAGATGCATTGCACCTATATCAGCTCCCCATTTTTGCTCCCCAACACAGCAGTCACATTTCTCACTTGCTAGTGTTTGTACCTAAGTATCTAGAAAATCATATATATGGATAAAACACTTGTTGATTAACCCCTACGATCTGGGTGATGTGACCATCACTTCATAAAAAAACTTGGCTTGAGAGGCAGGTGACATGAACATTCCATCATGGGAAAATTTTGGCTGTGAGCCACAGTGATGCGAACTCGCCATCATGAGCATTTCGGCTGAAGGCCGGGGAGACGGAAATGACTCCCCACATACCTCTTGGAGGGTAATTAGATTCATTTAGTGTTTAGGAAAGGGCCTTTGCATTATTTCCATCAATGAATGAGTGTGGAATGTACAATCCATGAGCCATGACTGGAAGAGTACTGGCTCCCGGGAGGATGCCATTCCGTGCTTAGGATCCTATTCCTGCCTGTCATGACCAGCAGTGCAGGTTGTATTAGAAAAGACTGAATATCATTTTTTTTTTTTTTTAATGACACAAATAACAAATTGTTACTTACTGTAATTGTTACTGCACTGAGGTATGGACTACCTAGACAGATGATATGGAGTTTGTGCAAAGAAAACTGCCTTTTACCATCTGGATAAATCAAATAAAATCACAAATAACATTGCAAGGGGTCTTGTCACTGCACACAAGTGTTCACATGCGCCCATGCCTATAAACTTCACATCCATCAAAGTGGTCACTCACATAAGCCTAATGAATGTATTTTAGGCCACGTGATGACAGTAGAGCATTTAGATACAATGGGTTAATTATAGGCTCATTATTGTGACAAAATGAAACATTACTTTTATTTTATGCCAACTCTTAACCAATGACATATGTTGAACACCACTCATTTGGCTTACCAGATTGGGTGCAAGAACTCTTTTCTGCATCAATATGACCACATTTTAAAAGGGATAAAGGCCTATTTAGTTACTTTTCCCAATAAACAAGAAAATAATTCTCAGGAAAACGCAAGTGAAAGCTATCAATGCTGCTGGTACTTTTAGCAAGAGGCATTAAGCTCCAATAAGGACTCAGAATGCACATCACCTAAAATCCAGGCATTAAGCTTACTTGAATAGTTGGTTAATCTTTGTGGTATGGATGCACTAAGGACAAACTGAATATGATATTCTTGTAGAGGACAAAAAGTTCCAGTTGCTGGTACAAGAAATTATCTGCAAACACGAAAGGTAACACCGAAAATAAAGGAAAGAGATCACGAATAGAGCCTCTCTCAGCTTAAGGCCACTTGGTGCTCTCTAGTTTGAGCTCTATCTTCCCGTGCATACCGAAGTGAAGACAATGTTTCCTGGGGGTATTGGGGAGCAAAGCGCCCCATTAACCCTCCCCTCGGACAGTGCAATTATTAATGGTACTTGATATTACTTTCCATATGAAAATATTAGTTCAGCAATGCTTTAAATTTACACAATGACTATTGGTACGGCAGTCATATCCCCCAATTGGTGATGGCTATTCCTACAGACATATCCTGCGCTTGTGTGGTATAATTGTACTTCCACCCACAAACAAGATGGCAGAGTCTACATTAGGTTAGGTTGAGTTAGATTAGGTTATATTAGGTTCATACGTGTTACCCAGATTTAACGCTTATATGTGCATATTCACATGCCAGACTGTAGAGTATTTTTCTTGAGCGGAAAACATCATTTTGTCTACATTTACGTGGACGGATCTACGGACGGATGATGAAACAAGCACGGAAAGGTCAAAAGAATTTTATGAGCAGAAGATGATTTAAAAAAGAACTAAGCATGTGTGGAAAGTTACCCGAGAACTACATTTACATGGACAGAATTTAACCAAATTCTAGTCTGGTGCACATGTATGACATATGCCTTACAGCGAGAATTCAGGTATGGCTGCCATACACATAACACTGGCCTTTTGTTAATAATTTCGTCGTGGATATTGTTCCGGCACCGGATTTTATAAGAGTTTGGCTATTCGTACGGCATACATGCGCACTAACTATTTGCACGCAAACATACACTTGCGCATTAGCATTGCATACAAACTTTGGCGTTGTTTTAGTGTTGTTCATTGTCTCGATCCGACTATGAATATTGCATGAAATGACCAAGAGAGAATTATTGACAGTGTGCAAGCACAAGTGTGTACCGGACGAATATCCAAAATGTTATAAAATCCGGTGCCGGAACAATATCCACGGCAGTACTTTCATTCTGGCCACACCTCATCTTAACTACTCGAGCACCCATGAAACCCCATGAAATGATGAGCCTTGTATTGCTTTATTTTTCATGATCCTTTGCAAATGAATCATTAGTTCATATAAGAAACAGAAGGAACATATTTGCTGATTTCTTTAGGCTCAATTTCCTTCGAGTTGAGAGGACATTCTCTTTTGCAGGTTTATGTAAGAGATACAAAAATATCATCTGGACCTGGAAAAGAACTAAAGCATGAAAGGTGAAACATGGCAAAATGAATACGAATTGATATGCCAGTCATGACGAGAGATATGACTAATAAGAATCAGATATTCTTCACCAGATGTTTCAGCGTGACTTACACATCGCCGATTATTTGAACGTATATACATGCAATCCTCAAGGCGATATGTGTACTATATGTTCGCGAAATGACACACAACGAGGCAAAATTAGAGGAAACATGGAGAGAAAAATGGAATCACCTGCCTTGAAAGGTCTCATCACAACATCACGCTGCGTTCGAGTCAGTTTAAAAGATGAAGTGATAATGTTAACGTCTTTTCCTATTGTTGATGAAAGAATGTCTTATAAATCATAGAATTTATAGAAAAAAGTATTTTGCTCCATTTAATGTAAGTCATTGAGGCAAATTATTTGATAGCACGTGATTATACTACTGATCAAATTCTCATTAGTGCTTATCACCACTCATCTTCATACAAAATCTAAATTTTCACCTATTCTAAACTATATACAAATGATTGATAATCACATCTACACTTCATTTAGTATTTAGGTAAACAAAAAGCACACAATTCATCTGACAGCGAATGCATGTTGTGAGTGTGTGAGTCTCTTTCATTTTCGTCTTTATCATATTTATCTCGTTTATTGTATTTTCCTCCGATTCCACGAACCCTCCTCAGCTCCGGGCGCAAGAAAGGTAAGGAAGAGAGACCGTGAGGTGAGGTGATTGAATGGCTATTGTTGATAATTAGAGGGTTTTCCTTGTTGCAATTGCAAGAAGGAAGAATCTGCTGCGACTTGATTTTTTTTTTCTTTTTTTGGGGGGAATTTCATTTTTGCTTTTCGACCTTAGTGTGACGTGATCATGTGAGTGCATTGATAAATCTGTCTAATCTTAAGGTTGTCAGGTGTTATAAGTCCAGAATGCGAGTGATTTTGGCGAAGGAAGTAAATGCAAAGTGCAGAGGCATCAGAGCCAGTCTGTGAGGCAGCAATTGCATCTTTGTCTGTGGTCTGACCCGAGGGAGAGAGACGGCTGGATTCTGGTGCCAAGGGGGCCTTTCCGATGACACAGGTCTTGTGAAATGGCAGTGCTAGTTTGGTAGGAATTTTTGGAGTTCTTGTTGCACACCACCTAGCATGGGGTACCTGGAGCTGGTCTGAACATATGTGACATGCTGCATACCACAGTGCTGCATTTGAGTGGTCAGAATGTAAAGTTTGCGTATTTAGTGCCGAATTCTGACATCAGGGACAAAGAGAATCCAAGCTTCCTTTACGAGACTAAGAAACCCATGCGCCTGCCACTGGTTTTTCACTGACGACCATATGTTCGACACCAGTGGCCAATCTTACAAAGGTAAATGATTATTCAGGGAAATTAACCTCCACCATACATTTTCTGTAAAGATTGAGTTTGTAGACTTTATAGCATTTTTTGTCAAATTAAGAAATAGCCCAAGCTTTATCTGGCCTTTGCCGCAATACATAGTGTGGTGGTGCGGTAATCATTTTATACGTGCCATAGAGTCGTAGGCCATCTACCACTTACCTTTGCAAATTCAAATGGAGTTGGTTAGCGTACAACCAATATTATAATCATAGGAACTTTTCATTTTGAAAGTGACGGCAGTGGTCATCTATTTATGGATAAAGATATTTCCAAATTCCTTGTAATTTTCACGATGGAATTCGACTTTTTCGTATGATGATATTGACTTGAAACGCATTATGATGTGTGATGGTGTTCTTATTGCCTGAGTGATACTTGCACAGTTCCGAGTCATTGCTGCGGCCTCCATCTTTTTGGCATTTAAGGATAGATTAGTAAACCTCCAAATACATATGTTTTTTCCAATTTTCATTGTACTTAGATTTTTACCATAAATCACTAGTTTAGTTTTAGACAGAATTCCTTTGTTAATATTTTCATTTGTTTATATATATATATTATATATATATATATATTATATATATATATATGTATATATAGATGTATATATATATGTATATATATATATATAATATATATATATATATATATATATATATATATATATATATATATATATATACATATATACATATATACATATATACATATATACATATATACATATATACATATATATATATATATATATATACATATATATATATATATATATATATATACATATATATATATATATATATATATATATATATATATATATATATATATATATATATATATATATATATATATATATATATGTATATATATACATATATATATATATATATATATATATATATATATATATATATATATATATATCCATTGTTTACAAGCATGTGATATTTTCAGTGAGTCATTAAAAAAAAGTATGGAAATACTTCTTTACCTTTGAGAAGGTTAGACTGACCTAAAAAAGGACATTAACAAGATGATTATTTTATGCTTCAAGTATGCATATCAGGGTATTGACTATTATCAGATAGAATTACTCTTTTGATTTAGTGTGCCATATAATTGTAGTTTTCCATATAGACAAAATGAAAACAATCTTTACTTGGGAAATATTTAACTTACTAATGTTTTACAATAAAAAAATATGAGTGAGTGAGTGAGTGAGTGAATGAGTGAGTGAGTGAGTGAGTGTGAGTGATGAATGATGAGTGAATGAGTGAGAATGAGTGAATGATGAATGAGTGAGTGAATGAGTGAGTGAATGAGTGAGTGAGTGAGTGAGTGTGAGTGAGTGTGTGTGAGTGATGTGATGAATGAGTGAGTGAG